GGACGGCGGGTCCAAGAAGTAAGTGTTATATTCACCTGGGCAGCAAAGTCCTGTGCTTGCAGCAACTTCTTTAGGAACAAGTCGGCCATATCATAAATCTAGTCTAGACGAGCCTGGCTCCAATGGAATTGACAACACGAGACACACTTGCTCAGATGATGACAGTGAACCAACCAGGTTGAGGAACATCGACTTAGTAACACATAATTCACATACGCCTGCCTTCCTGTTGTAGCCAATGGGGGGGGTTTCAATGCATGGATATATCTCCGGGATTAGCTCTGCCGATTCAACCGTATTACGGACCTCGTAGGGGCACTGGTAGGGAGCTGTCCACGTGAGCGACCGGTTGAATCGCAAGGGTAGGGGTTATTCTCTGCGAGTCGGTCTCGTACTGCGTCCTCTATGAGCTCCATGGCAGACCCATCAGCTCCCAACTGCTCCTCGCGCTCAGTAGAGCTACCTCCATTAGATGTCGCATTTGAGAAATTTGGAGTCCTCCAATTTATCAAATGCGACCAAGCCTCGACGACTCGTGTCTGTTCTGATGAGAACCGACGCCCCCTCGAAGCCCTTCACAGTCTCGACCCGCTTAGCTCTGACGAGCCCCACCCTTACGACGACAGGACAGAGAAAGGGAGATACCCAGCAGCTCACTGTTACTACTCTCGATACGCCGAGCATTGACAGAACGCAAGCCAACAGGGGCCAAAATAGATATGTAGGTTCAATCATGGACCGTAGGCTCGAGAGAGCCATCAGTCATATTGACGCTCTCTCTAGCATATCACCGTTACACATACTATCAAAATGCAACAAAAGGGATTGACAACTTCTATAAGATGAAATGGGAAAGTGAACGATGATATCAATACTCTCAACTTGCCGCCTCCACCTCCACTCAGAAATGCAGAAATGTTCACCATAATAACAACAGCAACCACTGCATGGAAGCTCTGGCTGCTGCTAGCTACTTCAGACTAGATTTTTTCACCGTCTTAAGACGACACCATCACTGGGTCTCGCTCAGGAGTGACCTCAGCATTCCTCGGAGCTCCTCACTCGAGGTTATCTATAAGAGGACCACGCCTCGAACCGGCGCTGAGCATATCTCGTCTACCTGGTTGATCAACAAACCAGCTCTCGCTCTGTCTTCGACCACTTCATGCTCTACCAACGCCTCGACAAGCCTATCTCTGGCTATAGAGCTATCCTCAGTCTTATGGACCTAATTGAATATTGGTCGGGAAATCCCATCACACTACTGTCCTGTGTACGACCATAAGATATACACAATCCGAATCGAGATCATCTTACCTCAGCCGCAGCATCATCATCCAGCATGTGCCCCTCCACAGATTCAGTAACCTGGAGTTGCCATGAGAGCTGATCCACAAAACTCAGGCGGCCTACTTGGAACTGCTCAGAACGTGGAGTGCCAACGAACAAGATATCGTCCTCAATGTTGTCCATTTCTCCAAGGTCCATCCAGCTCTCCGAGGACGACTCCGACGCCGAAGAGTTGCCTGTCACCGGACCATGCTCCTTAGCCGCTTTCTACCACTACTACTGTCATCATCAGTGCTCTCTACTGGAGGCTCCTCCATTTCTATTTCCTCGTCTATCTCCGACTCCATAGCAGAGCGGTTGTCATGAGTACTATCCACGGCCCTACAGCCCAACGAATATTCTGGTGACCCGACATTCTGGAAAGTTGACTTACCCAGCTACTTCAGGCTCCGAAGGGATCAATACAATTGGCCCGAACGTTGGTTCACTGCAAGCCTCCGGTTCTTCAGCCATGGCCTCAGTGGGAACTGCAACTGTCGGAGCCCCCTTGGGCGGCTGACACCTTGCCGCCCAGATCTCCGGGTTCTTGCGTATATCGATGGTCTCCTGAGGGCTCAGCTTGCGGAAAGAGTCCTTAAGATGCTCATGAGACTTGGACGGGCTTGTGAATCCGTAGCACTTCTCACAGAGGTCATAGTCCGGACAGATCGTACACTTGTACCTGGTGAATTAACCATCTCATATGCAGTTCAGGGGTATGCCCACCTCGGACCAACAATAGGTAGCTCTCCACAGAGATCGCATTCAATGCCCCAGTTGACTCCAGCATCCACAGTGGAGTTGTCCTCCTTCACTACAGGGGCGCTTGGCTGCTGGGTCAACGCCTCAGTGGCGGCAGTACAAGCCCGAGCCACTTTAGCAGCCATAGTGGGACCATCTACAAAGATGTCCATAGAACCCCAAGGGCCAGCGAAGGCACAATGCTGCATATCAGCCCACTGGACGCTCTCATCTCGAGTAGCCTGGCGCTCTGGTAGGGTCCCAACAGACTTGGTCGGAGGCGTAACAGGGGCATCCCCAACAGACTTTTCCTCAAGTGGATAAGTGGGCGTCATAGTATCCTTATCGGAGCCACTGTTGGCCGCGGTGAACTGTGTCGAGGCACAGCAGCCCACAGGCCTTCTTGGGTACTTGTAGCACGTAAAGCCATGGAAAGGGTTGTGGCCCAATGTAAGTCTCTTGTCGAAACACTTCGAACAAAAGTCAAAGTCTTCACAGTAGTTGCACTTGTACCTAAAAACAGTCCTATGCAGTTCTCACTTGAGCACTCCTGCTTACCTATCACCAACCAGAGGGTCCATCTCGCATCCGTCGCATATGAACCCATAGTGGACCACTGGCTTAGCCTGCATACCCTCGAGGCCGCCCTTAGTGACCGGCTCGCAGTGATTTCTCAAACGCCAGCCGATTCTCTGTTCGACCCGTCTAGAAGTCTCCTCCATAACATGTGGCGGTCTGGGCAGAGGTGTGGCCAGAGAGCGACGCCCATGAGAGCGCTCGATGGTCAGCTTGAGAACCGGTAGTTCTTCAGCGTCCTTATTAGCATTGCGTTCCTCTAGCAGCATAATGCAGTCAGGACGTCCTCTCATTCAGCGTGCACGGTCACCAGCTTCGTCGAGTAGTAGACTCCAAAGTCTCCTGTCTTGGCCAGCTCTGGC